GAATTCAGGCAAAACCTTATTCCCCTAACCTAATACAAATCTATTTGTTTTTTTTATAAAAGCACAAGGTAACTTAAACAAAAGTAAAATATATGTATTTTTACCCGACTGCGGCAAAGCCCAGAAGTAGAGTCATATGTTTGATCTGTATATGTTCGTATTTAGGCTCTTATGTTTCCAATCTATTAAAGGGCAGAACTGACTTTTATCAATAATAAATAGATCCTTTTTATTCAAGATATAAATTTAATCAAAACAATGGATTTTACCAGGTAGGGTCTGTAAGTAAAGACGATTTAAAGACTTTAAAAACTATTTCAAAGTGCTGCACCTACATTTTTATACCTATATATTTATACTTTTTATACCTATATATTACCTATATATTTATTAGTTAGTATGTATTCTAAACACAGTTGAATTTTTATACTTTCATTCAGCCACATTTTTTAGGAGAACAATATTTTTAATTTTGTTTTTCAGACATTTAAAATAATTTTATAACGTTATGGTTTCAAACACTTCTGCGGTGGTACTGTTAATAAAAGGTGTGAAAATAACTTTATACATCATATCTTGTTCATTATTTTGGTAATAAAATAATTAAACTAAAATGTGAAGCGATGTTAATATAGAGTAGTGTGGGACGCCCATAAGCCAGGCGAAGTGATAATTTACGCAAGATGGCTGGATACAAGCCGAGGATCGAACCAAGTAGTGTGCATTGGAGAGGTCTATGTCCAACAGTGGACTACGATAGGCTGATGATAATTGTTAGTGACTATTAGTAACATGGGTACCACTGTCCCCTAAGACTAATCTGAACTCTTTCGTTAGAAATGAGTTCACGTTAAAATATACTCAGCAGAGTTCGAATAAGAAATATTTTGATAAAAGCACGTAAACTTAACCTTCGTGCTACTATTAAGAATCAGATCTATTAAGAATCACAGACAGATCGCCTCATGTCAAGCGGTCACCGATGCTTATAGCAAAATGTAAAACCAAAATTAGTAGAAGTAAATAGTAACAGAAGTTTTAAAAACAAGTTAATAAAAAATATTTGGCAAGTTTTATTTTAACAATAATGGTGGCGTCACGCAAGGCCTGCACGTAGATGGCGCCACGGAGCGTCATTAGTGGGTCGCACTTCCGCTTCCGGCGGGTCCCGCCCCGCATCCGACCGCCCACCCCATTGTGGCGATGCGCCCCGATTGTTTCCCCTTGTTTTTCAGACATTTAAAATAATTTCATAACATAATAGTAACAGTAACAAACATGTCTACTGTGGTACTGACAATATAATAATAATATTATATGATAATAATTTATTTATTTCTCATCACAATATATACAGACTGTTACCAGACTTATGCCAAAGACTTAAATTACAGATAACACAGTTCAATATGAGTCGGTTAAAATTTAAAAAAAAACAAAAAAATACAAAATAAAAAAATGCAAATTTAGAACAAAATAAATACAATAAAATAATGCCGAATTGGAGCACCATTGATAACACGGGTCACTCACCTGTAGACGACGCGACGGCAGCGATGCAAAAATGGCGCCAACATCAAAATGAGCCTAGCGACGCGGCGCCGCAACGGCGGAGGCGCCGCGTCGAGCAGCCGAATATTACATTCGTATCACTAATCAGTTACTTCACTTGCGCTTTATTTAAAATCACTAAATCAATTTATTAAAATATGAATACCACTCGCAACAGTTTTTATTCACTAGGTCAATTTTTACTTAAAATTTGATTTAATAAGAATAAACTTTATTTTACACCAGTTTAGTACATCATACATACAATAGTAATCAAATTAATTTAAATTTTTAGGTTTTCAATGTGCCTACCGTTCACATCAATGCATCGAATATACCTTCGCATCATGTTGTCTCGTATTCTAGCACACAAGTTGTCATTTGCTGCCAAAGCTTTTAGTTTATTAAATGCACTTATTATCCTCGATCTTAGGTCTTCTATTGAAGTGACGTCTGTTGTGTACACTTCATTTTTAACATATCCCCACAAAAAAAAGTCTAGGGGCGTGAGATCTGGTGATCTAGGTGGCCATCGTGTAGGCCCATAGCGTCCTATCCACTGTTCACCAAACATGTGATTAAGACGCTCCCTGGCAGCCACCACTGAATGGGCAGGCGCTCCGTCTAGCTGGTACCACATACGCCTGCTTTGAGCTACAGACAGTTGATCTGTATAATCTGACACTGGGCCATCAAGCAATTCCAAAAACCTGATAGCAGTCAAATTTCCATTAATGAAAATTGGACCGATTATCTTATTGCCGTGAATTGCTGCACATACATTCAACGAAAAACGGTACTGGTGGGAAGATTCGCGTACAGCATGAGGATTTTCCCTAGCCCAATATCGCAAGTTTTGGCGATTCCATATACCATTACGTGTGAAGGTACTCTCGTCAGTCCACATGATGTTAGATAGAAATTCAGGGTCATTCGTTACCTTCGTACATAACCACTGACAGTAAGCCACTCTTATGGGTTGATCTCTGTTTAATAAAGCCGATACTTTTCGAAATCTGAAAGGCCGTCGTTTATTAGCCTTTAAAATACCGTGGACCTTTTTGTGGTGAACACTGAATTGACGAGCAGCCCTACGTAAACTGCATGTAGGGTTACGCGTAAAATGGTCTAACACACGTTCTTCAAGGGCGATCGGTGTTCGGGGAGCAAACTCAACATCACGTGGCACCAAACTTTGATTGTCTCGTAATCTTTGTACCGCCCTTACAAAAATTCGGCTGTCTGTAGGGCATACACGAGTGGTTCCATATCTCTCACGGTATGTCCGTAAAGCTAAAAAAGCGTTTTGATGGCATTCCCCGTAAATTAAGACCATGTCAGTATACTCCGGGGCTGTAAAGGTCACTCGCGGCATTATGAATGTTAATATTAATAATTCAATATAATTAAAACACTAGTAAGAAACCTAGTTTACACTACACACACACACACTCCACAACAAAACTAATATTGTTACTTTCAAAACAAAATTAGCGGGACTCGTTGCAATACAAACAGTCTTGCAACAACTGACCGCAGACCGATTGACGCTACTCTACTTTCTAGAACCCGGAAGTCATCGAATATTAAATAATTAAATCAATGCTGCCAATTGTCAAAGCTCAAAAAACATTATTATAATGAGTTTACCTGTAGTAATCATTACGTACTGTAAATAAAACATTTAATATAAACAATATAATTTACACAGCCTAATAATATTAAAATACTTATTTATTAGCATATTTTGTTTATAATCAATATGTAAAAAAAAAGCGCGCAATTACGATGCATACATGCTAATAGGTTGGTAGCGATGACACAGTAACCAATTACATGCTTCTAATTTATTTTCGCCGACACTGACCAACACAAGTGTAAGAACCTTGTTGTCAGACACAGTATTATCTTCCGTATGCCGTTGCAATATGTTTGATTTTACTTTAAAGAAATTCTTATTTTTTTTTTATTAATTATTATTTCGTAACTTGTGCGGTAGCGTTTGTATAGCGACAGCGGGAAGGTCATTGACACTTAGTACTTTAGCTTTGCGTAAACATATGGTGTTGTAAAATACGAAACACAAAAATGAGTCCTGTGGCTAAACTACTGGATATATTTTGTTCATATTTTGCAAATCGCCTAGAAATTAAGGACAGAATATAGGGCTTAAATATTTGTATAACGAAATAAAACACTCTGTATTAGGTTAAATAATATCTATATAATTTATATTCAATATTTGGTAATAAATAAGTCAATTAAAATATGAAAAAATATATAAATATCTTCACATCATCAGAATCATCTTCAGCGGTTGGAAGGACGCAACTGAAGCACGGTTTTAATTGCTAAAAATCCAGAAAGAGATATCCCGTACTTTCATTCAGCGGCTATGAGCATTCTTCATCAGGTTTCAGAGTACCTATCATGGAGATGTTACATTATAGATTTTCCAGACCGTTGGCGATCCCTCGAAAGCCTTTCTAATAGTATAAATATTATGCTGGTGAATTATTAAGTCTATTATATAGAAAAACTAAACTACAATTTAAAGAAGAAGAATGTGGCCTATCTAAGCACTGTCAAATATTAAATTATTTCCATAAAGTGAGCGTATGTGGAATGGGTGAGGAATACCACAACCTTGCTAAATTGAAGAAAAATATAAGATTGGAATCATTACGACACTTATCATACTTACCGATTTATAGAATACCTAAGCATACTAATGTATATGGGACGCAGACGTGGGAACACATGTTACCCCGTATAATGAACAACATACCAATCGAAACCTGTAGTATGATGAATGAAAAAAAATTGTAAAACTGTTTTGATAAACTACTTACTGTCTACTCAACTATACGAGTATACATGAAATTGAATTGTAACCGCTATGTGTGTGGTGTACCACGAATAAACTCCTGATGGTTTGTGTGGTATATAATGAATAACTTTATGCATGTATGAACTTTATATTACACAAAAAATAAAAAATAAAATAAAAAAAGTATATGTTAATTTGATTTGTGTACGTTTCAAAAACTCAAAAAGCACCGATTGTCCTTTTTTGACACGAAATTCAAACTGCTTCAAAGATTGTTTTCATCTGTCTATAGTATAGAGTATAGATTCTATACTGTCCTGAACCTCAAGGCGCATAATGATTAAACTCAGTCGCCTTTGACCGCCAAAATTGCACAGTGATTATATAAAAAACAATTACCTTAACTGATATCCATATTATGTTCACGGCTCGTTTAAATATATTAAAATTGAGATTAAATCAATATATTGCAGAGAATTTAATAACGAAATTGATTTTTTACACGTTTCAATGCGTAGAAACCGAAAAGGTTTAAATACAGGATCTGGCAAAATAACAGTCATCTTCGGTGAGTTGCGTGCAGCTCGCTGTTGGGTCCAAAGTTCAGGGTCCAAAGACAATGATGAAGATCAACGGGAGCCTGTGGCTTCTATGCCTTTTAGCCGTTGGAATCAGGGCCCGCCCCGAAAGTGGTAAGATATACGCCAAGGTTAACTTCGGTCGACCTCAGTGCTTGAGCTGCGAATATTTAGATGATAATGGTGTTATGTACTGTAAATTAACATCGCTTAAACATTGCACGGTGACAGCTGAGCTGCTAGCAGCAAGCAGTTCGGAGTACCGGGCAGTACCGGTCGAGCGCCATGCAGATCACAAACTGCACGCCGAACGCCGGTCTCTTGATGACTCCAAAGAATCACGTGCAGAGTCTGTCGTCTCTGAACAGCGATCGGAAGATGCAGCAGGTATTTCATGCCGTGCTTTTAGAGATTACTCTTTTTAAATAATAGAAAAAGATAAATAAAGTTTTTTGACAAAACAAAATAAACTCACTTTTGAGTTTAAATCCAAAACATAAATTTTGAAAATCTCAGTATCTATTTTCGTTTCATTAGCAGAACCACGAGAAGCTGTAGATGATGATGCACGTTCTGAAGAATCTCGTATGTACAATCCGGCTGATCTCTTTTACAACAACGAACTACAACTAATCAGCCCAGCTCCTTCAGGTAATATATGATCATATAACTATACAACTTCAACCAATTATTATTTATATGTCACTTGGAGTTTTCTGAAATCAGTCCATCTAGTTCGTTCCAGGAGTGACTTATATTCCTACCCTGAATAAAGTTTTCTTAAAGCCTAAATAATGAACTTTCAGGACCTGTAACAACTGGAGCATTGGTCAACCAGTGCACTGCTGAAGGTGACATGTTCTACGAGACTAGAGGAGACAGCTGCTGGGTCTGTGGATGTTTCACAAGCTTCGGCGGACTATTCCCAAAATGCGCACCGTGCACTTGCTCTTTACGTAAGTCTATAACTCCACATGTAATATTGTGAAGTAAAGTTTACCTACGAGTATAAGCTCAAAAATGAAATCGTTATTTTCATATATGAAAGGTCCAGCTTGGATCTCTATATGCCTTTTGGAATTTATGTAGTTTTGAATATTTAATACCTTTTGTGTTTATGTCTCTTTTCAAGACACATTAAATGTTGGCATTATCTAGGTTTACCAGAACGAATTTCACGAATCAAATTTTTGTAATTTATGTCAGTCATTCTTAAAGATTCTGAAATGTCGTAAGCTACTGTTATTTAATTGAATTGAAATTTACTTCTTCTTGCTTTTTACATACAAAAATACACTGACATCTACCCGGTGTTTAGTCCCACCTCTGGGTTAACAGTCAATATCACTAATCACTAGACAATCAGGCCAGCCAATATTGACTTAATCTGCTATGTCCTAATAATTCTGCTATGTCTCTTCATCTTCAGTAATCTCTTTTTTCCTTCCAGGTACCCTGCCATTCAGTCCACCCGTACCAGGTAAACATATTACTTTAACAATATTATTTATTTCGACCATTTTACTTTTGGTCTTACTATCACGTTATACTGTCCATAACTGCTCATTAAATGCGTGTGAGATTTTTGACATTTTAACATTCTTATCCTGACGTTTCGATTCGACCACGATGGGTGCATTTCAATTATTATTGGAATATCGGCTTAGAAAGAATGTGTAGTATCTTTTATTTAGTACCGCGTTTTATTCCCGATTACAACATCTGAAATAACAAAGTGTTTGGTGGAATCTCAGAAGCTACGAGTATATTTGTTAATTCAAGCATTAATGCCTTGAAGATATGAAGATCCTGTATCTTGAGATACCCGAATTTGGATGCTTAAAAACTGCGTCCTTTACAAGGTTCAAGAACTACCCACATTAGATAAGTAATTTTTAAAAGTATTTAAATGTATTTAGTTGTATGTACGTTTATTTTCAGAACAAATCATTCAACTACCAGGTAAATCCTATTTATTTCCTACTTCATTATTTATGTTCAAAATGGTGGTTTAAAAGTGAATGTTTAGTTATTCTTTTTTATACCGAATATATCACTGATAGCACACAATTTCAACCTCTTTACAGAAAGTTAAGACCATAATAAACTGCTTTATAACTACCAAATATATAAAACATATTACATTATTTATTTATATATGTTCAATTGTATAATAATTTTGTAAAAGTTTTACCATTGATACTTAGCACTTAAAAATTTGTTTACCTAAGAAGTACAATTTTCTTTTGCTCTAAAACTGACCACACGACAAAACGCAAAACTCTTGTTCGCTTAGGAATAAAATAGATAAATGTAATATAATACAGTAGGTGTCATATGTAACCGTTAGGAGTAAATTTTTAAGACGTCCAATACTATACAAGATAATATTCTAAGGTTAAAACTTAAACATCAATTAAATTTTCTGAATTATCTCCTCTCGCTTTCACGTGGGGTCCACAAGGTGCCTACACAAATACATTATCGTTGTAAAATTAAATTCACATATTGCTTTAAATATTAACGAATGATCACAGTAGACTTCGCTGATCACTCTGGGTCACAATTGTAACCTTACGTTTGTCCCACATACTGCATACTGAAACTACAGCATACTGAAACAGTATGCTAATGTGGATTGCTTTAAACTGGACCTGAATCTCTTAGAAGTCCAGGCTACACGCATTTATAATTTTAATTACCAAATAACAATCATTTTAGTCATAAACTAAAACTATTTTGAAATCATGACTCAAAGTTCAGTTTTTAATATTCAAATTTTGATAATCTATAATTAAAATAACTAGTTCTAAATTCTGCAATAAAATAAAATTAACAAGTTTAGTGATAGTTAAAATGTTTGCTAATAATTCCAATGGATTTAAATCCTGGATCAGATTACTGCACAATTATTAGACCAAAAGATCTTTAAATGTACATGAAATTAAAACAGTATATAGAAAAACTTTTTTTTTTTTTTTAAAAGACAACTCCCGCAGTAGGAATACATTCCTGTGTCGCGGGGGACTTTACAAACATATATGAAACGGACACAAAGAACATACAGACTCAGAACAACAATTTGTGGATCACACAAAGTGTCGTTCCATGTGGGGTTTGAACCCACAACACTCGGCGCAGTAGGAAGCGGCGTGGCGACCGCTTAAACCACTACGCCATCCGTGCAGTCGAAAAATATTCACAGTATAGTAGTACAAATCTTTATCTAGTTATTTTTCTTATTTAAAACATTAATATAAGCACTTAAAATAATTTGATCCAATTTTCTAGAATCTCAATGAAATGAATACAACATTATAATATATTTCACAGGTTCACTTCAACCTTTAATAGTTCCTGGATATGGTCCAGGAGAAGTCTTACGTTTACAAGGTACCTAAACCATTATTTAGGAAAAACTAGGTATAAAATTAGCAGATAATAGACTTTTCTAATATTTTGGTTCAAAATTTATTTACATTTAGTTTTAAATTCAATTGCGTTTCTAAACGAAAACAATATCAAAATATGTATCTTACATTTATTAGGTCCTGAATATGCCCCAGAAGGAGTCTACAGTCCACAAGGTATAAATGCTATTATTAACAAAAAATGCTTGAAATAAGTTAAATATTCAGAAAAATGAACCCAAATCAGATACTTTCGACACAGACACGAAATTTTTACAGAATAATCAAATCATAAGATTACATAACGTACTTTCTCTAACTAAACAACCAATCGTTTTTTCTATTTAAATTAATTAATCAAATCATTGTTAACATTAATCGAACTGTTTGATTCAAATTTAAATATATTTTTTATTAACATTACACTAAAAGAAACAGATAGCAAACAATTTAATCAACCGTTAAACACAGCTTAAAAACTTAAAAACATAAACAAGAAATTTCGATGTGTAACATGAACTTAGTCAATTCTAAACAGCCATTTTCCAAGTTATTAGATCCTCCATATATCCAATGTCACCATCAACTACGTAGTTTGAAAGAAGCGAATTAGAGCTAATATTATTTAAAAGAGCACAAAAATTCACAAAGTTCACAAGGTTCCTTAATTTTATGGGTGTTGAAAGTGTGAATGTCAGTGCTAGGTACTTCATAGGTAAATTTAAAACTCCATTGTATTTTTTATGCAAAAATTAATATTTAGCACTTTTACAGAATTAAATACAATTCTTCTGGGTATCCAAACATGTTAATGTAAAATTTCAGAAAAATAACTAAATGTATGAAGATTCTTTTTTCTATTCAATCTATGTGTATTTTAAATATTTATTTTACATATATTTCTGGTTCTACTGTGCCTAAGTTTGTATCCAGATTAATTTTGATATTACACATATTATATAACTGTTAAAAAAAAACCACTAATACATTTGATGTTTTATGCATAAAATCTATTCAGCTTAAGAAGAGTATACTATTCACAGAATTTTCTCCACTTCCCTATGGTCCAGAACCAGAAATAAATCCAGGTCAATATATAAATTTTACTACTTGTAACATTCACATATAAAATATATATATTACTGATTTATTTTTTGCACTTTTATAAAAAAAAAGAAAATGAAATACGCCCAACATATTTTTGACAAACTGTTGCCAAATCCCCTGGACCCGTCAATCATGTTTGTACTCAGAATTTATTGCATGCTTATTTATATATTTATATTTATTATGTGTAACAATAGAAACGTAATTTGAAACAACTTTCTTTTAGAGATCAGTATAAAGTCCTATATTATTTTTCAGGATTCATTCCAGAATCGCTAATACCACAAACAGGTTAGTGTCAACCCGTCAGAGTTCAAGACTAAAAGTTAAATAATTGAATCGTTGAAATAACATATTTCACTTTTTCACAGATGTATCTTCAAATTCACTAGGTCCTCTACCTAATCTATATCCAGGTTAATACTATATTTATTAAATTTAATTCAAAAGTTCTTCAAATGTAAACATAAAGTTTTAAAATTTGTTTAGTAATCAGGCTATTCAAAATGAAGGACGTTTATCGTCATAATCGACTGACTGTAAGATAAACAATTTATCCATAGAGGGATTAATACCTTTCTTACGCGGCCCGCGGTCCAATAATGCAACGTATTCGCAGAGACAAATATTTTACTTTATTTTTACATTAAGTATTTACACTAGTCATGAAATAGATGCCTATTATTGTTTATTGTGGTATTTATTTGCTTTTAATGATAATTGATATAATAATGATTCAATTCGTGTACTTTCTTATTTGACTTTAAGTTATTTATTTTTTTTTTAGTTTAAAGAACAATATTTTTGCGGGATTGTCACTTTTAGGTTCTGCAACAGTTATTATTTTAAACTTTGATAGATTGTACTTACCTGTTTTTTTATTTGAATCTTTTTTAAATAATCGTATTGTTAAAGGTTTTTATAGCTACTACATTATAAATCCAAAATAAGTGGTGTGACGTACGCAAGCTTGGGCATCACAGTGCATCACAGCACATGCACAATGCAACGTCGTTTAGATGTTTGTAATAATTTCTAACATTATATTTTTCCAGAACCTTCAATCAATCTCTTACCAGACCAAGGTATATATATTTACCATTTTTTGTCACTTAATTTCTTAAATAAACTTTTGGAACGGAGTTTCTTATTTGACGATGTGGCTATAGGGATTTCGTGAGAAAAAGCGTAGGTTACGAAAAAGCGTTAGTCGCTACCTCCCTCGTTCTGCATTCACTTCCCCATAGGTGAGTGAGATAGAGAGAAAGGAATCCGTCTACTTGCATTTTTTTTAATAATTCGAGAACAACACATCGAAGATCGAGACATAATGCCTATGATTTTTAAAGAATTTGATGAGGAATAACATGAGACCAGTCTCAGAGTATAATCAATAGTATTCGAATTATTCAATTTTTTAATAAAAAAAGCTGCTTTTTTAAACAACTCGTCATATTCATTAGCAAATCAACTTTTTTTTTGTTTAAATATTGAAAAAAAAAATACGTAATTTTTTTTTTAATACATTGACCAAAATTTATAAATGATACATTCGTCAAATACCATAAGAAACTTCGTTCCTATCGGCTGTTCCACGACATCACACGGCTTTTTTTATTTTTCTTTTAAACATATTTCTGATGCGTCATGTTCATGATCTTATTTTTCAAATTCAATGTAGTAAAAATGATATCAGTAGTTCGAGTACTCATATCGGTTTTACTCAGGATGTTTTGCTTTTAATATCTCAGATGTGAGTATACATACGTGATCTTCAGATTCGACACAATTTGTTTCCAATTGTAGCAATTTTTTAATCAATTCCAGCACTAGATCTTCAATAAAAGAAGGAGGTTTTCGATTGGGCTTTTTTTGTGTTCATTTTTATTGAAAAGTGTGTACGTTTGGTTTCATTTAAATGTGAAGAAAAAATCAACACATGAAGAAATTACAGTTCATTACAAATCATTATTATTTAGTCACGTTGAACTCAGTAATACTATTCAAGAGTTATGTTTATTTTGCAACTAGCTGACCCGCGCAACTTCGTCTGCGTCTCTCAATAGTAATAAATTTTCTCCGTTTTTGAAACATTCTTCATTGGTGCTCCGCTCCTATTGGTCTTAGCGAGAATATATATAGCCTATAGCCTTCCTCGATAAATGGGCTATCTGACACTGAAAGAATGTTTCAAATCGAACCAGTAGTTCCTGAGATTAGCGCGTTCAAACAAACAAACAAACTCTTCAGCTTTATAATATTAGTGTAGATTATCATATTTTAACATACAGTACTAAAAAAACATATATCTTCACGCCATCCAATATCACTCCCGCATTTTTGATTTTTACCTTTCATTTCTCAACGTAAAGTCTGTTATATATAACGTTGCTCCCTTATATGAGGGAGATATATAATCCTAGGTTTTGAAATATTCTTTCATATGTCAACCTGTATTCATTGATATTTCTATCATAACCGATTTAACGGGCCCATTGGTCTAGGGATTAACGATCCTGCCTGCTAAGCCAGAGGTCGTGGGTTCGATTCCCACCCAGGACAAATATTGTGTGATGAGTTGATGGAAATAGGCTTGGCCCCTTAAAATCCTCTTTGACTGTTTAATTCACAGGTTTAACAAGGATTTCAAACTTTATTACAGAATCTCTCAAATATATCGATTCCCTCACATTATCTTCCATCACCATTCATCACCGTTTATTGACGGTAAATTAGTAATAGTGAAGAGTAAGAGTCCAGTTCCCCTACCGTTATAAATTTAAAACTACAAGTTGCTTAAAGTTCAGTCTGTATCCACCTTATATCAGTGAATGTAATATTTTCTTAGTTACGATGAAATATCTTTTTTCTTTCAAGGTCCGATACCCCTGCCGTTGCCACTGCCACAGCCTGCACCTATGCAGTTCGAACCCATACCGGAACCATCTCTACCGCCAGTTCCGTACCAACCGCAACCATCACCACAACCGTACCCACTATCCTGTAAGTAAATTTTTGGTTTGCTCTTAACTGAAGAACGTTAACCAAGTTTTACTTTCATAACCTTATTATTTTTTCAGGTCCTCCTCCCGTATACATTCCTGGTCCTCCTCGCCCATACCCAGTACCTGTGCCAGTACCTGGAAAACCTGTGTACATACGTGTACCAGTACCCGTACCCTCGCCACCTGAGAAGATCTACATCCGAGGACCTTCAATTCCATACCCAGTACAAGTAACGAAGAACGTCCCCGTTCCGTACCCAGTGAACAGGTAAGTTTGTAAAAAGTACTAGTCATTAGTAAGTATTTTCGTGGGAGAGCCATGCATTGTCACAAATGGGTCAGGTTCGACCGGAATGATACCAGGGTTTCACAGAAAACCGGGTTTTCTTTCGTTGCTTTGACTGCCTCGGTGACGTAGTGGTAGCGTATGCGACTGCTGTTTTGAGGTCTCGGGTTCGATTCCCGGGTCAGGCAAAATATTTGTTTGAAGATTTGGGTGTTTTCTATGTATAAAATGAATGCATTTACAAAAAACAAAGTATCAAAGTATTCTATCAGTCTAGTTTGAAACTAGATGGCATTGTGTGTTAGATGTCCGAAATATTATTAAACATATTATATTATGTACTACAGAAAAAAAAAACTCCCCCTCCTTTCTCAATTCTGGGGGGAGGATTAAACTTGTCATTCTTAATTTGGGCGGCAGTGGTGGTAGTGACGTACGATCAGGTGACCCGTTTGCCTTAAATAAATAAATAAATATTTCAGGCCTGTCGCAGTGCCGGTGCCATCTCCACCAGTAACCATTCCCGTCAACCATTATATTCCAGTGAAAGGAAAGGACATATTAGTCCCAGTACCAGTACCATTCACCAGTAAGTGATAATTTGTGGTGTGTAGCAGTTTTAAAAGTATTTTGATTTAAGTTTACTATATCAACATTTATGCTTTTCAGAAACTAAATACTACCCTGTACCAATCATCGTCTACGTAAGTAAGTATCGCAAACGTGTAACAATGGAATGTTTCTGTGAAATATATAAATATGATTATTATATAACATCCAAATGTTTTAGATCCCGAGTGCAGACATCGCCCACCGTTAGTACCATTCCGATCTCCGTATGAACCTTGCAAGATCCTTGTATGCAAACTTAAATACAACTACGTGTATCTTGAATCTTCACCTGATAATTCCTGCCTAATCTCAGGTATTATAATTACAATAATTATTTACTATACGAGTATGAATTCAAAAAAGACATGCCAAAGGTATTGATTGCTAATATTGTTTTACCTTTATTTAATCTAGCACCAGTAAGTCCTGGCTGGGGATCATCAGCATCTTCAGCAGCTAATGCTTTTGATACCACGTATGGAGGAGGTTCCTCGAGTGCTAATGCCAACGCTAATGTTAACACTGGATCGTTCCCTGGCTATCCAGGATTCTCTGGTTCCGAAGCTTCAGCAAATGCTATATCTGGTGGGGGTTTCCCAGGTTTGGATGGTAACTATGGAGGTGGATTCTCAAGCGCTGAAGCAATAGCTAACGCGAATTCCGGCCCTGGTGGTTACTCAAGTGCTGATGCAGCAGCAAATGCAGCTGCTAACTTCGGTGGTTATGGTGGCTTTAGACCTGGTAGTTACTCAAGTGCTGAAGCAGCAGCAAATGCAGCTGCTAACCTAGGTGGTTATGGCGGTTTTGGACCTGGTGGTTACTCAAGTGCCGATGCAGCCGCACATGCAGCTGCTAACCTAGGTGGTTACGGCGGTTTTGGACCTGGTGGTTACTCTAGTGCTGATGCAGCAGCAAATGCTGCAGCGACCTCTTTAGGTGGTTATGGCGGTTATGGAGGAGGTTTATCAAGTGCAGATGCTGTAGCAAGTTCCCTAAGTGGATATGGCGGCTATGGAGGCGGTGTATCAAGTGCAGATGCTGTAGCAAGTTCCCTTAGTGGATATGGCGGCTATGGAGGAGGTGTATCAAGTGCAGATGCTGTAGCAAGTTCCCTTAGTGGATATGGCGGTTATGGAGGAGGTGTATCAAGTGCAGATGCTGTAGCAAGTTCCCTTAGTGGTTACGGCGGCTATGGAGGAGGTGTATCAAGTGCAGATGCTGCAGCAAGTTCCCTTAGTGGTTATGGCGGTTATGGAGGAGGTGTATCAAGTGCAGATGCTGTAGCAAGTTCCCTAAGTGGATATGGCGGCTATGGAGGAGGTCTATCAAGTGCAGATGCTGCAGCAAGTTCCCTTAGTGGATATGGCGGCTATGGAGGAGGTGTATCAAGTGCAGATGCTGCAGCAAGTGCTGCAGCTTCCACCCTAAACGGTTATGGAGGTTATGGCCCCGGTGGATTTTCAAATGCAGATGCTGCAGCTAGCGCCACAGCAAATACCCTTGGTGGTTACGGCAGCTTATCAAGTGCTGAAGCGGCCGCAAATGCTGCAGCTTCTACCCAAGGCGGATATGGTGGTTATTCAAATGCAAATGCAGCGGCCAACGCCGCAAGCACACTTGGTGGATATGGTGGCTTTGGAGGAGGCTTTTCTAGTGCTGAAGCAGCAGCAAATGCTGCAACTTATGGCGGACATTCAAGCGCAGATGCGGCAGCACATGCTGCAGCTAATCTAGGTGGCTATGGAGGCTATGGAGGCTACTCAAATGCCGATGCAATGGCAAATGCTGTTTCTAACTTGGGCGGCTATGGCGGAGGATATTCTTCTGCTAATGCAGCAGCGAATGCTCACCTTGGCAACAGTTACGGCTTATTTCGAAGTGGAGAACCAGAATCAAAAAGTGACGAGGGAGCCAATTCCCGGGCTGATGTAGCTAACTCAGACACCAGAAGAAAAAGAAATGCTGTACACAGGATGAAAGCATAGAAAAATTGTAAGTAAGATATGTGTGTATCTAGAGACGATAAGGACGATCTAAGATATTAATACAAGCTTATCTATATATATATAAGAGATTTCCACGTATATAGTCACTCATCACGATATCTCTGGAACCATTAAAGCTAAAGACTTGAAATTTGGTAGGAATATTCTTTTCACCGAGTAGAGGTCAGCTAAGAAAGGATTTAAAGAAATTCAAAAAAAAAAATGTTTAATTAATGTAAATAGCAAAACAACGTTTGCAGTGTCAGCTAGTGAAGTATAATTTAATTTGATTGCTAACTAGTATTTATTTATTACAGAACACCACGGAGCCAATCTCATGATCTCTCGACAATTATCCCAAGAAACTGGATTTGATTTAACTTAGATTTAATGACAAGCATGTAAAATGACAGTAAACTAAACACTCATATTGTATTTAATAAATCATTTAGTGGGATATTGTCTTTTTATTTATTATTTTTATTTCATTTAAAGATGTGTAAATTTTGAACTAGAAATGTCTGTCTTGAACTCTCTACAGTACAATATTTAAGGCATTTGAACTCTTACGACACATCTGGTCATTATATACATATATTATATACTCCTACTGCACCAATATAAAAATTGTTAATAACTGGGTTCTATCTAAGACAACTATGTATTACTAACAGACGTGATACAGACGTGATACATAGTGTTGTGTCAGAATGTAGGATTTTATTTTCGATTTTTTAACTGATTTTGACAATAAAGCAAAAAAAAACTTAGCTAAAAATATTACAAACTGTCGTTACAGTGTCCGGTCCAATCATAAATATAAACCATCCAGACACACACAAACACACGCAAAAAAGTAATGATCGGAGAAGTGCATTAATGTACGGTCCGATTGATGACGGGCCTGTTGGTCTAGTGGTTAGTGGCTCTGACTGCTAAGCCGGAGGTCGTGGGATCGATTCCCATCCAGGACCAATATTGTGTGATGAGCACGGTCATTTGTCTGGGTCTAATTTATCTATAATATGTATGGATTTAAAATATATAAGTATGTATATCAGCAGTCTGGTTACCAAAGCACAGACTCTGCCTAGTTTGGAGTCAGACAGCCGTGTGTGAGATGTGTGAAGTTATTATTATAGTTAATATCATTTTACATTTGTACAGAAGAAATGTAAAAAGAATGACTGTAAGCGTATGCAGATCAGAAACATGTACATTGCTCTAATTATATTAATAACGATCTAAGATATGATATAGTGGCAAGCCAAAATAAAGAATATAATATAAGCAGAAATCCAATCCCTAGACAACCCTATGTATGTAACAATTTTATATTAGACAATTTAAAAAAACGATTATTTTTACCTCAGGGCATTGAAAAATACACAAAACTATTTGACATCTGTAGCTATCAATTATAGTGAAACTAATTAAATCATACGCAAGTACACTAATTACACTATAAATCAAACTTCATTACCCTCAAAATGCCAAACGGGTGTCAAGTAAAATTAAAAGATTAACCTATAAATACATCTGCAAAAATCGCGAGTATATATTCACTGTGAATAGGCTTAATGTTGGATCAAATTAAAAAGTAAGTCAAGATGCAGGGTAGGGTGTTTGGAGGTATTTGCCTCCTTGCCTTCCTGTTATCTGGGAGTCGGGGTGAGGAATTAGATGCTTCAAAGCAACCAGACGAATTAAATGTAGAATCAATAAAAAGCAAGGAGTTATCACCAGAAGATGTTCGGCAATCGAGTGAAGAATCCAAAAAGTTAAAGGCAATTCCTAATGATCTCAATATTACCAGTAAGTATTCAACCATGTCAAAAGATTTTAATGGTCACGAACAGTAATAGTAAGTAAATTTTAAATTTGTGTTGCATTTCAGTTTTTAAATGTGCTGTTTTGAGAAAAAATACTTTTAAATCTTTTTCTAAATGTAGTTTATGGTTAAAATCAAGGCTTCAGAGGCGTTTATAATATCACACGTAATACGCGGCCATAATTAAATTAATTTTGATTTTGGATGACAGAATCGATTGTAATAAAAAATAATAAATTTCTACACCTATAAGGTAGTAATTCTTCATCGGTCCTTGTCATCCACCTATCATTCTTTTAATCTGTCCGTGAACTAAGTCAAGGGTGACATACGTTGATTAATGAAATAAAACTCTAAAGTAATTACTCAAATATATTTAACATTGTTATTCTGAATGATATAACATACTATTTCTGATGTAAATGTAGGTATCGAAGTCCTATTGGTCTAATAATTAGTGATTCTAACTGTTGTGCAACAAGACGAAGAATTGAAATGCATTATGAACACGATTATTTATTATTTGCATGTGCATTTCTCAAAATGTTTGCGTTTGTCAGGGTCTGTCTAGTTTGGGATCAGTTAGCTGTGTGTGAGATGTATCAGGTTCTTGTTGTTATTATTACAATTTGGTCGAACGCATGCAATAACAAAGCTTATAACTATCAATTAAGAATTTGTTGAAATTTACATGCTCTAGCTTTAGCTTTTGGCTATTTAAGGAACAGAAGGCCGTGTGTGAAAAAAAAAACAATAGTAGAGAAAGCCGAATCTTATAATTATACTATAACAAAATGTACTGAGAAATTACATTTTTTAAATAATGTTTTAGAATCAGCCATACCATTGGAAACTTTTAAAAATCAATTATCATCAGAGGTATCGGATGAACCAAGCAAAGGCTCACAATCCAAACAAAGAATTTCACCAACTGCTCAAAAGAATACAAACGACTATCCACTGGGGTCCGTTGTTAGTGAGCAAGCTATTGATGCTAAACCATTGCCTTCGTACTCACACGTTTCTAAGGAGGAGTCTACACGTGACACACTCGTAAAAAATGATGGCAAACAAACTAAAAACATGGATGGAACTCAATCTAGTGAGAATATGAACGCATACCCGTATAGTCCGCACAGTAAATCGGATTCTACTTCTAGCAAAAGTAATGATCTGCGTAGTGGAGCACCCAATTACCCATTTTTTGAAAACATAGGAATGAATTCCGCTCAAGCATACGCTGGAGCTCTTACTAATAGCTTTTCTCAGAACAATCAAGGATTCAATCCTTACTCTTATGGCTATCCTCCTGGACCAGATGCTAATTCTGGAAACTCGGCTTCCGCCAGCGCGTTCGCACAGACGTCCAGTGGGACCGCCAGTAAGTCAAGATTTATTTAAGAATAACAATTATTTATTGTGATGAGTATTATTTCTTAAAATGATATAAATTCAATCAAGAATATTTTACGAACATTGTTTAATACTCAAAATAAGTTACTCAGTTATTCATTTCTCATTATGAAAGTTTTCCTTTGTTTAATGGCATAATTCGTATTTCAGGCGCACAAAGTTCAGCGATTGTAATCGAGGGTAATAATTTCATTTATTATAATTAATAACGACAGTTATTATTGAATACAACTTAAATCATTATAAATGGTTCCAGATGCACAGTCAAGAGTAATATGGCCAAGTGAATTAATATTTCCAAGTAAAATACAAGGTAAGTTTATTTAAATGTACCAAGTACATCCATATTGTTAGTTTCGTGTTAAATATTTCATATTTAATAAAATTGCATTTAATTTTTCAACTTTTATAACATTTCTCTATTTAAAAGAAGGTTAGTTTTCTTTTAATACTGTTCGACAATTCTTTCAGGAAGTGAAAATACAATACAATGCACCAAAGAGAACGAGTTATACCACTTCTGGTCCCGCAACTTCGAATGTCTGGTGTGCGTGTGTCTCAATGTATATGGTTTCCTGGAACCAGTATGCGCCAAATGCACAGGGTGTCGGCACTCTAACCCTTCAGAGATTCCAAACTTTACTACCGAACAATCACTTCCTTATCCTGAGCCCTTCGTACCTATTCCTCTACCTGATTCTATCATGCCTTTTCCTTTACCGAATGTAGATCCTTATTCACCCTCTGCGTCAGCTCCATCACTTATAATAGAACCTTTAAATGAACAAGATTTACAGACCACACCATCACCACCAGCACACGAAGGTAGGTTTTAAGCGTAGGTGACAAGCATAATCTGCATTAAACGCAACTATTTCAAGAAATGATTAATTCATTTAATGCCTCAATCTCTACTGCCCCGATGCTGCAGTGGTAGCGTATGCGACTGCTGTGCTGAGGTCTCGGGTTTGATGCCCGGGTGGGACCAAATTTATGCATGATCTTCAAATATTTGTTTCGGAGTTTGGGTGTTTTCTATGTATAATATGTATGTATTAACAACAAAGTATATAAGTATTCTATAAGTCAATTTAGCTTTAATAGTTCAAGCTCTGCTTAGTTTGAAACTAGATGGCGTTATGTGTCAGGCGTCCGAAAATATTAATAAATTTATTTAGATGATAACTATAGATTTTTATTTGTTTTGAAAACAAGTCTTACTAGACTGAAATCAGAATTTACTTTGCAATAATATAAATAAAGTCAATTCAATAAAGAACAACATTATCGATCCATCGAATATTGCTTTCTTTTGGTTTGTCGTCTTATAAAAGAAATTATTCATATTTGCTTTCTTTGATAATTTCTTTTTTAAAAAGATTAAAAAAATAATTAATTTAATTTTTTATTTATTTTTGCCCTATAACATCAACATACATTAGTAGCGCCTTGATATTTCTGTGTGTATCATGTTGCAGTAGCAGCCACTTGCAGTCCACTGCCGATTGGCAAGACATATACGAACCCTCTGCATCCTTGCCAGCTTTGCATATGCAGAGAGATGGTTACAGAGTCTGGTGCAATTGAAGTCATAATTCGGTGTCAAGACAATCTCGAATGTGGTGAGTTATCGGGATCAATATGGTTAGTTTATTTGGAACGGTACAAGCTTACCCACCACCAAATCACTTATATGATATATGTACAATTTTCTTCTCTGTAATTATGTGTTTAGAAACAATCCTTGCCATTTGGTTTATAATCAATATTTTAGATCAATTTGATGACCGGATGGCGTAGTGGTTTGTGTAACGGACTGCTATTCCAAAGGTCGCGGGTTCGATTCCCGCTCAAGTCAAACATTTGTGTGCATGAACTTTTAATGTTTGATTTGGTCTGGGTGTTGCTATATATAATATGTATGTATTTACAAAAAATAAAGTATATATGTATTTATATCAGTTGTCTAGTATCCATAGTACAAGCTCTGCTAAGTTTGGGACTAGATGGCGTTGTGTGAATGTGGAATAAAATAATAATAATTATGTCTGTTAAACAACAAAACGCCTATTAAAATTTATATAGCTGATCCTAGTAGTTTTATCGACTTAAGTCGTTCCTAGTCCGTTTTTAGTTAGTCCATTCATCCTGAAAAATAAACCCCTTACTTTGTTATATAATACTAGATTTTGGCCGTGGCTCCGCACGCATGTATGTCGAGTATCGCGGTAAAAAGTAACCTATACTACTCGCTGATAATATAGCTTTAAATTGGTCAAAGAATTTTTAAAATCGGCCTAGTTGTTTAGGTGTAAAAGAGTAACAAACGAACTCACTTTCACAGTTTATAATATACATAAGTATGAATGTATAGATATAATTTTTAAAGCAGTCCTTTTTCACTTACAGTGTTGCCTCCAGACGTCACACCTCTACGTAAGTGTTTACAATGTATAAACTGAGCTGTTAGAATTGAAAATAAGTGATTAATGCATATTTTTTTTTGTTTTAGCGCCCATACCAGACGTACCTGTTCCAGTGCCATGTGAGTCTTTGCACTTGTGTAGTGCTCAATACATTGTAAATATTTTAATTTAAATATAATAATACGTGGTATATAATACGTGGTATAGTAGGCCAAAACCTCCTTTCTAAGGAGAGGCCTATGTCCAGCAGGCTGTTGATGATGATGATGATAGCAATAGATGGACACTGTAACGAACCTGTATTTTCCTTTTTTGTTCCATGTTAAAAAAAAACGAGAATCATTTTTTCTATAGATAAACTATAGAAAAAAATATTCTCGTTTTTTTTCAACTCTAACAATTCTAACAATTCTTTAGTATCCCTTTTGAATGTTACTTGTTATAGTATTTTTATTTATTAACCTTTATTGAGTTACCTAGACTATATATTAGTAACCTTCGTGAAAGAGAGAGTCGTCAAAATCACTAAAAAGCTATACTCCTACTTGAAACTGTAAAAAATATTGAATTGACTTAAGCTCAAAATTAAAGGATCAGAATGAAATAATTATTTGTACTATTATATTGTCTTTCTGATGTTGTATTATTACAGTACCTCTCTGCGAAAAATTTCCACACCATGTGTCATTCCCACATCCGATGAATAGATGCAAGGTGTGTCAATGTTCCCTGGAAGTATCACAAACTGGTCAACTAGAACAGCAGATTACCTGTTACCACGACACGGAGTGTGGTGAGAGTTCATTATATATAGTATAGAATTAATAACAATAATAATATTCTACCACATTCACACAACGCCATCTAGTCTCAAACTAAGCAGAGTTTGTACTATGGCTACTAGACAACTGACATAAATATATATATACTTTTTTTTTGTAAATACATACATACTATCATTAGATACACCCAGACCAAATCAAACATTAAAAGTTCATGCACACAAACGTTTGACTTGAGCGGGAATCGAACCCGCGACCTTTAGAATAGCAGTCCGTTACACAAACCACTACGCCATCCGGTCGTATAAAGAATTTTGATACAGAATAGCCTAAAAACACATTTGCAAAGGTCGTTTACTTTTTTGTTTTTTTTTTAAATTATAACTAGTAGAGTAAATAATAATCTCTAATCTTTAGTAAATATTTATATATATCTAACATGAGTGATATAAATTCATTAAAAAAGGTAGTTACACATGACAATAGCGATAACTGACGTCACTAGTTTTATGAATCGACTACGCCAGGTTAACGTTCTTCAAGCTTATGCATATATTTAAGTTTATACATATGTGTGTGTTTTATGTATGACGTTTTTTGACAGGCTTAAGAGCTTAATGGTTTTGCAAATTTCAATATGAGGGGTGTCCTTTAAATTGTCTTCATAATCGGAGTGATATAGGGTATAAGGCTTAAAGATGACGTGTGCGGAAAGAAAATTAAGGGAAAGTTGACAAGTAAATTTTTAAATAGGTCGAAGTAAGCTGGTGAGGTAAAACATATAGTGCAGTCGGATTTTATAATTTTGTTAAATTTCGTTTATTTCATTTATTTTGTAAAAATATTGGATGTATCCTTATACGAGTACATTCATAAAGATTATCACTTAGATCATTTAACATTCATATACCGTATTCCTATAAATTTATGTAAAAATAAAACTTGCAGAAAAGTTACTAGAAGATACTACAGAAACAGCAATTCCACCGGCCCCGCCTATACCGATACCAGTAGAGCCATATGCTAAGCCTATTTACGAACCAGAGCTTGAACTGATACCTGAAAACATCTTGGTTCCAGTCAAGCCCCCAATCAGGAACACGCCGAATACACCGGTAGAACTACGTAAGTGCTGTAGAATATATTTTTTTGTACTTGTAACTTCCGCACTAGGAATATATCCTGCATCACGGGAGACTTCACACATACATTAAACGGACACAAAGAACACACAAGATTCTTTGTGTCGAATTTGTGAATCACACAAACTAAAAACTTAAACTCAAAATATCTCTATTTTATAAAATTGTTTGAAATTGTATTAGACTCTAAAGTCATAGATCAACACACAAGAGCAACAATCTGTTTTGTCAAATGTGTAGAAAAATGAAATTAGTCCATATATAGTATGTCTGTGTCGATCTTTAACCGCCCGTTTCCAAAGGGTTAAGCCTTCTTCATTACATTAGCATGATATTACATGATGTATAATTAATAGAATGGAAACAAAACAAAAGAAATAACATTCATTAAAGTAATGAATAAGATTCCATCGGAGATGCAACTGATTTAATTTAACATGTAAATTATACAATTTTTCTCAGTACCATGGCCACCTATATCAACACCTGCTCCTCCGCCGATGCCCTTTTCACCAAGGAAGGGACCATTACCAGGGCCGCCTCCACGTAAGTTATTTCTAATAATTATTTTTTATTATTCATTGTTCCTGATTATTTTTGTTTATTATTTCACGATTATGATAATCAAAATATATTTTAGATGACTCCTGTCGGCCTTATCCACCGAACCAACCATTTCAGCATCCTTGGGACGATTGTCAAGTCTGCCAATGTTCTGTGATTAAAGCTGTAGGCGTCGTGAACGTTGAAATTACTTGCTATACGAAGCCATCTTGCTGTAAGTACATCAAATATATATAAAAGAAGGATATGAATTATTTACGTAACGATAAAGTACTAACATATTAAATATTCTAGGCATCGAGTCACCGGAACAAACGATTTCAGGTAAGATCTACAATAATTAATGAATTGTAATTCCATTTATTTAATACTAGCTTTTGCCTGCGGCTCCACTCGCGTGTATGTCGGTTATCGCGGTAAAAAGCAACCTATATTACTTGCTGATAATGTAGTTTTCCATTGGTGAAAGAATTATTGAAGTCGGTTTGTGGTTTAGGCGTGAAAGCGTAACAAAAAAAACTCACTTTCACATTTTTAATATAATTATGGATCTGTATTTAATATAAAAAATCTCTATTTCAGCCATTGCAGGTAAATAAATTAAAGGTAAGCTTTAATCAACCTCTTGGCACCGTTTAATATTATTAATTCAAAAAATGATTACTACTAAAGTTAAATTATGTTGTTTCAGATAACTCGCAGTTTCTTTTAAATAAGAACTATTGCAAAATTAGAAAAGCGTCATAACTGACGATTTGACAGCTCAGCTGGCAAGTGATCGTGTGACACCCCGGTGTCAACAAAGGGTTGATTAACAGATGGTTGCAATAGGTGCTATAAAAACCCGCATCAACTAGACCATTAAAAGGAGTCACAGTAAAAATTCATAGCCAGCAGGATTATGCCACCGAAATTACAGGTGGCATAAAAAATGGCTTTTTACTATTATTTGAAGTTCTAAAACTGTAGATGTATAGAATTCCTAGTTGGATATTTATAGTCCTGTTTCAAATTATACATAAAATTTCAATCGCATAGTTAGTTACACTAACGCATAACAAACATATTTACCCAAAAACGTTGAAACATAAAAATGTTATTTCGATTATTTTCGTTAATCGTGATGGCACTGAGTGGGAAGTCACTTGTGGAAGGCGACACCGGTCCGGTTTGACAAATAAATATTGTGGAATAGTACAAGTGACTTAATTTAATATTTTCCTAAAACGATACAATACAGTTAGCACCAGTGCTACGATATAAGGGTAATTGTAGGCATTGGTATCGTTAAGAATATATCTAATTAGATAGGATGAAGAAAAATAGGGTGAACCATTTCGGAAACACAATAAAGACCGGTAACAAACAACAATTGAAATAACTGACGCCCCATAGATTGGTCCTTAACTGTATTGATACTCTGATGTCCATTCATCGGAACCACTCGCCCCTGAACGTGATAGCGATGGTAATTGTGTTTTCCATTCGGGTGCTACTCCTGTTATTAAATTTTTATATAAATGTCTAGATGTGTAAATATAATAGCCTGATAAGTAAGCCGGGGAAGTACAGGACTAGCCTGATAGTAAAACATTACCGATGACTGTGAGAGGTTGAAACAATAATAGTTCTGTCACTTATGCTATGACACGATAGTGCTACACTACTATTGGTGTTTAACAGTCGCAGTCATCTGTAAGGTGAAGATTTGTTTTCATTCTATAAATTAGACCAGAAATTCATTCAGCTCTATCACCATCTATTAATCGAAATCAAAAATAATTTCTGTACATGTCATACAGTTATATGAGAAGTCAAACTTTATGTATCATGTGTGTTTTATATGAACTTCGTGAATTTACTGATAATTTTAATTTTGACTTTCACATAGAGAACGGCATAGTTTACACAGAAGACAATCAAGCGTTACTAAATAGACCTCTAAGTAGCTCTGTTAAACCACCAACACTGATAAGACCATACAATCCACATAATTTGCAAAATCAAGGCTACGGCAAAACAAAGGTTCTAACTGAAAATTTTGATTTATACAATCAAGGAGGTGCCCAAAATCAAGCGTATGCTGCAGCTAATGCTATATCGCAAAACTCAGGAGATTTATTCAATCAAGGAAATACAGGAGCAAATAGCTTAGCTTATAACAAAGGAGATTATAATTTACAAGGTTTTCAAAATCAAGGACATTCTGCTGCTAATGTTATTGACCAGAATACGGGTCCATATAATTCAAAAGATTTCAGACATAAAGATTTAGTTGAAGCTAATGCTATGGCTCACAGCGATGTGAATAGCCTATCAAATCAGTTATCTGGACCATATCAATCGCCACAAGGGAGTGGACAATCACTAGCCGAAGCGAATGCAGCTTACAGTTCTCAACGACCCTTCGAGCCTTATAAAGTACGAATTCCTCAGAATCAAGGATACGCCGAAAGTAATGCTTTATCCCAAAACACTATGAATAATCCCCTTTACCCTGGGTCATATAATTCAGCAAATGCATATGGCAGTGCGGACGGACAAGCGGCAGCTGAAGCAGAAGCAGAATATAATAGCCTTCCATTAATAAGTTCTTATAATACAGGAAGTCCTAAGAGCCCGGCATTTTTTAGTTCAATTAAGACAAACGAAAAGCTTTTATCTTCCACCTATAAACCTCCACTACAATATGATCCGTATAATTTAGATGCTACGCAAAGCAATCTTTACCCTGAGGCAATTCCGCAGTACAATGATCATAGAATGAATACCCAAAAACCTTTAAAAATTGGACAATTAAGTCCGGGATTTTCACAGAATCATGCTTCAGCCCAAGCAAATGCTCAACACAGTAGCATTCTGGCCAGCACTTTTAAACCTCCAGCGTTATATAACCAATTCAATCCAGCAATTTCACAAAACCCAGTGCGTGCTACTCCTAACGCTGTGTATAAAGGAACTTTTTCAATGACTGACAAACCGCCACTATTATACAACCCCTATAATTCAGGAGGAACTCAAAATAGTTTAGCTGAAGCAATTGCTCAAGCACAAGATTATTCACTGTATTCCCAGCCAGGGGCTCCAGTTAGGGCAAATTCATATGGATTTCCACATGAATCAAACTATTACTACCAGAATCCTCACCCGACCTACTCAAGTAAAGCCAATACTGGATTAAAAAGTCAGCACAAAAAAAGCCCTATCAAATTTGCCGGAAATTATGACTTTAATGGACAGCCACAAAAAATCTACAGCCCTCAAAGCCGTTTTAACCCTTATACGGGATACTCTCAAACCTTGCCAACTTCTAATTTATATTCTTCACTTTATCCAAATAACTACGATATATCTCCTTTATATCGTCCTGGACAATACGGATCAAGTAAGTCAATCTTTACATTTTGATTACATTAGTTTATTTAGTTAAGCCGTTAATTTCACGTAAATTATTATTTTACAGGTGCTCAAAGTACTGCAGAAGCATTTGCTGGATCTAAATCACAAACTAAATCTGGTGATGGTAATTTAAACACATAATTTTTTAAATGAAAAACTTTCTGAATATGTATTTAGATAAAAGTTTCTGGTATTTAAAAAGATACTTCGGTACAAGGGACCTTATAATTGTTTACTCAAGAAACTCTAAACTTCCGTATAATTTTTAACAAGCATAACCTTGTAATCCCGCGCGTATCCCTCAACTTTTTGGACATAAATTAAAAATATATTAGGCAGCCAGATGGCGTAACGGCTGCCATGCAAATTATATTTAATCAAACTTTGAACCATCCACTACTTATTGGATTTCTCTAGAACCTTCTTTGAGAGAGCTTTGGAGTTACTAGTTTTTAATTTGAGTTAGTTGATTCGAAGTTTAGGGACCCAAAAGTTATGGTTTGCATCAATTTTGCAGGTTACGCGGAAGATTCAGACGAGTCCCAGTAAAGTGACATAAACGATGAATGTGTAAGTTTCACAAAATAAAATGTAATTTTAGTGTAACGATCAAGATAAATAGTGACTTTCGGTTTGATAAATCACATGTATTTATCTGTTCCAGGATATTTATAAACAAAAACGACAACGACGCTTGAAGATGGAATATACGAGTAGATATTAAAGGTGTGCTTAGCAAAAGATGCTTTAAACTCAGTTTTTGCAATAAAAGTAAAGCATCGTTACTTTTTGTTTTATTGCACTTTCTTTATCCTTAATAGGACCTAACATTATTCGTAAATGTTTTAATCATTGTTAACATCCCATATTGTAATTTAGTCCGACTTTTACGCCAGTCGGTCACGATTTTGTCAAGAATAAGAAATACACATACAAACGTATTACATGCCTTACTGTTTATAAATAATTTTAAAAATAAGTTTCATAATTTATAGGTAGTAAAATATAAAGCGAAAAATAAATACACATACACATACATGTACGTAAAGTATTTTTATTCCCATGTAGTTGTGCAATGTGAAATCTAAACGAAATATTTAAATAATGGCAAAATAATGTTATTCCATTTCTTTATTTTGTTTTTTATACATGGTATGTATTTGTTTGATATAGTTATATTTACTTATACCTGGACGGATTAAGAATACGTAGTGTTACCACTTCTATTCATCCCGTGGGTGTCGTAAGAGTCGACTAAACGAGCAATCTACGCAGAACAACAGCACTGCAAAGAGAAGGAATACTTGAAATAAACTCTATACCGACCCGTATGGCCATCGTGGTATAGTAGGCCAAAACCTCCTTTCTAAGGAGAGGCCAGCAGTGCAATGTACAGCAGTGGACTATTGTAGGCTGTTGATGATATTTAAGAATGTACTCATGACTTTGAACACGTTTACTTAAAATCTTTACTAAATTAAAAGTATTCTTTTAATTGTAATACAATGATTAAAATTGATTCAATGGTATATCGCGTATTCGCGCGTATACTACGCGGTTATCCACTACAATAAACAGACTTTATCTATTCATAATGTTAGTTTGGATCTACATACAGCGTATAATAAGTAATGAGCATGGGAAATTGCCTGCCAGTAATTCATAAGATGCTCATAAAATAAGTTTCAAAGTGATAAGCATAACGATAAAAATACCGTCTGCTGTGTCTTAAATATAACAGCGCAAGCACTTTTGAAATACTTCTCGAGTGCGAAACTTAATATTAAAGTTAAAACTACTAACTTAATCTTGGCTGACTCGTACAGTCTCGAAAACTTCGAATTTAAATTAATCATATCTTATCTCTCAGACATTAATTATCTTTTAATTATGACAAAAGAAAGGTAATTATAGTTCAATCAAATTTCAATAGAATCTACACAGTATGCCATCAAAAAAAGATCCATCCTTGTACTAATGACTTAAGGCCTCCAAAATAGGTGGCCTTACAGTACCCAGAAGAGTGCCAATGCTAAAGTAGCCCTGAGATGGTGGACCGTGAATCGTGTTTTGTGCGATTTTTTCCGAGATTACCCGCACATTGGGGATTTTTAACTGGATGATAGTATAGTCGACTATCATCAAACTGTCGGTCAAAAGTTTATGCTTATGATGGTGCACGTACTACACTGATATGCATATTGACATAATCCTCGAACAGTTCTTCTGGTAATAACTTTCTAAAATACTATTTTGTTGACAAAGTTCGTTTGTTAACTAAATAGTAACCCTAATGACTGTGCAATCGATTAACCGATTAAAATATAACTGATCTGCGGTGATGGTTTTTACTGTGTATACACCTGATACCATCGCGGCAGAAAGCTTCATTGGCTGAAAAAGAGCCCCGTCGGACCGAAAACAAGTTGGGCATGTCCGATATTCATACATGAGTAATATGGTATCAAGTCACGTAAAGTGATGGAAGTGAATAAACGATAATCCAATCTGTATTATAGGTTTACTCAAGTTTTAGAGATACTTGCTTAGATAATTTAATTCTTAGTTAGAAAAAAAAAAAGTATATATCATGAGTTCTTGCTAAATAAACCCAAAACCTGCTAAATAAATATAAATTGAGACTTACCCTTACTGCATTTGATTATATTATGATCTTACCTGTAAAATAAATGTTTGTTTTTACCATTTGACCAAACTATCAATGGCTAACATAATAATCAGACGAGGGTTTGGTGCCAAGTTTACCATGCCCCCTCAACCTTTATTGTGCACCAATATCCCGAATCCCCAAAACACGAAGCCCCAATAATGTAAGTCATGATTCCTTGCATTTGTACGGATTAAGCCCTTAATAGTTCCTAGACCTGTCATTAATTTCTGATAATTTTGATGTATATTTTTAATGTTTTTAATTATGCCTAATGATTTACTGTCTCAATTTAGCGTCAAAAGGCCATGATAGCTTTGAAGTTTCGAAATTAGCAGCCCTCACTCCATATCTGATGCATATCAACGACCTACCAAATGTAGCTCACTTCAAAGATGCGGAGCACCGAGGGCCAGCTTGGTATGATTACTCCTTGAGATCGAAAGAGTCGGCAAGTGACTTGGAAAGTGGTATCAGTTCTATCAGGTAATTTTTTTTTTAAAGACAACTCCCGCACTAGGAATATATTCTGTCCTGACAAACATTCATGTAATGCACACAAAGAACACCCGGACTCAGAACAACAATTTGTGGATCACACAAAGTGTTTTTCCACATTGGCATCGAACCCAGTAGACCGTTTAAACCACTACGCCATCCGTGTAGTCTGTTTCTCTCTTAAGTATTATAGATATAGCGATTCGTTTTTAGATGGGACTTTGGATGTGCTAATAAAAATTATTTCTAAGATAAACAACTCTGACTTGAGCCAGTACTTGTGTTAAATACCTAACCTAGTTGACTAGTTAGTAGTAGTACTAGTTAATTGATTAGTTTGGGATCAAACCGCCGTATGTACGATACGTTTTTATTGTTATTATTTTTTAATCTTTCTATTATTATTATGTAGGTTTTTTGTCAAAGACGGATGAAACTGAACCGTTTTAAGATATGCATTTTTATTTCAGCGAAGCTTCAGATTCAACAGAGTCGACTGAGAGTCAATCTTCAAGTTTTGCTTCTTCTAAAGATACAAGAGAACGAAGAAAAGTGTAAGATACCTATAATTATGCCTAATTTGTTCTATAAAGTAAGGAAATCCAAACAATAAACTATGGGAGTAAGCGAGGACCAATTTCTTAGCCTTTCATAGATTTACCGTGCCGCTGCCGGGTCCATCGCGTGATAGATAGAGGCAACATATGCGACTGCCACAGCGCCTGGGAATTGCGTCCCTGGAGTAGGTCTAGGAAGTATTCACAGCGCTCACCTTCACTGTCTGCTGTGTTACCCCTTCTACCTAACCATAATGAATATAAACCTAAGAATGCGGCTTTAGATATTTGTTTAAGAAAAGAGCTTACTGAAGTTCTTGGCAATTCAAGGTCTTTAAGCAGGTTTTAGGAGGATTTAGCTGGTATACCCCTCGCACTTACTTCGAAAAGAAAGAAAGAAAAAGATAAATGCAATTGTAAGAATGGATTGGGGAATGTAAATAAAAATTCGAGCAGGTCAGGATGGCGTACCTGTAACTGGAGTTGGATATTGCCAGAATATCATAGTGTGGTAAAGTTGTATAGTTTACCCTTAAACTTTTAGTCCTACAATATTTCTTTGTCATAACAAAAAATTGATCCTTACAGTACTGATATGCATCGAGCTTGCACTCCCTGCCCCCACGAGATGATGAAGAATTTTAAGAATATTGGTATCAAATGGATCTGCGGCGCCTATCAGAGAGCCAGGCGCAGTTTCAAGAGCGTTTGCATGATGCGTTTTCGGAACTGCCAGGATGGGACTAGTAAGTGTTGATTTTTTGAAATAACAATATGAATATGGCATGTGGCCTGTACCACGGTTTACATTTAGTATATCCAAATCCAAATATGCTTTCTAAGGTTAAAAAATTGTCATGGAACATGGCAGGATAGAAATTTTTGGGATGGTGTATTCTTTAAACTTATCATCCAGCCTCTCCTTCCAGTAATTGGGCTATTATAGTAATAACAGTTTCGACGATATAATATTTAATTTTAACATACACATACCATGCAGATTTATATCTTCCTCTACGAGTTTATTTAACAACCTCGCCACCTCTACAATTACAACATTTAATTCTTCTTTTCAGCGTACAACATTTTATCATCAAAATCAACCAACAACTCTGTTATAGGATTTGTCACTCAACCGGTCATATTATTTGGTTTCAGTGTTCGTCAAGATAGCTGATCATAAATGTGGAACTGGAGGTGGGAAAATGGGTAATGCTACATTAGCGTACCATGGCAAACATTGGTTCTATGACTATAAAGTGTGATATAAACAAATGTGTTTGATTCATTTCCTACCGACGAAAAATCTTAAGTCCAGTCGTATTCTGTTTATCTTTATACGCAATTAATACAAAGATGGTTCATGGGAGAGCCATGCTTAGGCTCAAATGGTCCAGTTCGACCGGAGTAATATCAGGCCACACTGAAAACCGCTGTTGAGCAATTCTTTCGTTGCTGTTCCACGAATATAATGGTTAGGTACCTAAGCCCAACCCATTTCCCCCCTTAACCTTACCCTAACTTCCGTGCCCTTTACCTTTCAAAATTTACATTCTACTATTACAACATTCTCTACTATTCCAAAGCAGGGTTGGTGTGAAAATGGCCGCTGGCCAGAAATTATATAACCCGAAACTAAACAAGAAATTAATTGAATACCTTTAAGCCTTAAATATCTTAAAGTAATACTTTAACATATTTAAATTTTTATAATAATAAATAGGTATGAATAATTAGGTATTAGTATTTACAAAGAGACAAAAGAAGTAGGAGTTGAAGGCAAGGCAATGAGATTTCTTTCTATTCAGGTGAGGAAGTTTGAGTAAAAACGACTTTTCTGATAGTGACTGAAGTTTCTGAGGCATTGTTTAGTGCATACCCTTTTTTTCCTGTGCGGCATACCTCTCGGATACCACCCACCGGTGAAGTGGTTATGTCGGATTCGAACCGACCAAAAGCCGCACGCCGTCTCGGGTACCAGTTGCCGGGGAACCAGGTGTACGCTAGAAAGAAAATCCCTGGTACCCTGAAGTTCCGCGGGTCATCTACAGATAGTACATGACCCCCTCCTGAGTGCGAACCTCCATGTTCCCTTTGCCGTCCCGATAGGGCGCGCGCTCGCAGTGCGTCTCGCCACCACCCCAGCCTGCTGCTGCTTGGGTGACAGATGATTCTAAACGTTTGTGCTAAGAGTGGGATCTCTTCGGTAGTAGATTAGGTGGATTAACCTGTAACTACTCGGTGGGTATTGTTATGATAGTGTATATTATAAACTCCACAACTTTATAATCATACTTAAACCTAATCAGATGAAAGAATATTAACAACTGCTAAATAATATAAACAAAACAGCTCCATAAAATATAGCCGTGTTATATATTGCAAGCAAAAGTAATAAAACCAATTCTAAATAATACTACAAATTTAAAATAGCCGTAAGCAAATCATACATATCGAATCGTAAAAATCAAATTGAATCGCCATCAATTTCCCATGGCTTATGATTTATGAGATTTTATAAAAACAGGATTTATGTGATGTATGCAAGTCATGGTGTACGTGCTAAGGATTGTTATATTGTTTCTTTTGGGTGAGTTGACTATGGTGATAGCACGTAGTAATTATATAAATATGGTATTGATTCATCTTGGTATTTAACTTCAGTGAACAAAACAGGCAAAACGACTGACTAGTAAGTGACAGAGTAGAGTAAACAAGGTAGCTGGGATGAATAGGATGAGGAAAAGGAAGGACCAGGTGCCATAGGTTATTAGAAAAGGCCTGAGTCCTATGTAAAGGGCTATTCCAGTCCTGTGCTGCCTATAAGGCTACTTCATGGATGGATGGCATTAAGAGAATACCACATATGGTAAAACTATAACTCAATATACCACGGCCTCACAGAAAACCGGTGTTAAGCAATTCTTTCTTTGCCTTTCACTGAGGGGAGCGGAGGGACTCCAAGGGCGGCAACGCACTTGTGACTTTTGACTTGCAGGTGTCCATGGACGGCGGTAGTTGCTTACCATCAGGTCTGCTCGTTTGCCCCCTTATACCATAAAAAAAGAGACAAGTGCAGATCTTTGAGTGCCCCTCTCTCAGGAGTAGAGGAGGAAGGGGAAATTTAAACCACCTCACTCACTTAGTAAAACATACATCGAAAAAAATGCTTAACACTGGTTTTCTGTAAGGACATGGTATTGATTCTCACCCAGGACATTTATTTATGTGATGAGTACGATCATTTGGGCTGTCTGGGTGTAATATATTTAAATATAATATGTAAACCTCTGGGTAATCAGAATTTATTTTTTGAACAGGATTGTTCTTTACACTAATTCATAACATAGGTATACCCTTTTTGTTTTTTTTTTTCCGTGCGGGAATCCCCTCGGATACCACCCAGGCCTGCGCTTATGGAGGACGGAGGTCGTTCTGCGAACTCGCGTACCTGGCCCTTTCCCGGGCCTGGCGGGCCGGGAGAGTCCTAAACCTCTCCCAGTCCCTCTCCGCCGTCTCCTTCGCGAGCATAACTTGCTCGCAGAAGGAGACGGCAGAGTTCCACGCACTCTCGCTCCGCACGATAGCCGCAATCAGGCTATCGAGCGAGAGAACTCCCACTCCGATGGCCGCCACGAGGTCTCGCCTCTGCTCAACCCACGCCGGGCACTCTGCCAGCATGTGGAGAGCCGTGTCCCCGGTCTGGCCATCGCAGTGGTGACACTCAGGCGTTCGCTCCTTGCGGATCAGACACAGGTGATCCCCGAAACATCCTTTCCCAGTGATCACCTGCGTCAGTCGGTATGAGAGGGTCCTGTGACGCCTCTCGAGCCAATCCTCCATAACGGGTCTTACCGCCGCGATGACGGCGTGCCCGAATATAGGTATACGCTAAGAACTCCCTAATCAATTAACCGGTAAAAACATTTATTTATCATTCTTAAATTGTACTGTTGATTTTTTTTTCAGCGGGTCTTGCATTATCAGCTATATTTGAAAACAAGAATGAAGGCAAAATTCAGAAGAAAAAAACAACGATCAAAGGCAAACACGACAGATCAACGTCGTCTTCGTCCAATGAAAAGAAGGGTAAACCAATTATATACTAAAACACTGCGATTTATTCATCGCCTTATCTTTTATTAACACGCTTTTATTAGCTTGGGTATGTATGTCGCGGAATCTTTGAACGTGATTTTGATTCACTACAAAACCTCGAATCAAATTTAACTTCGCACACTTATCAGGGACCAATGACAAAACAATAATTTGATAAATTTGGATTAAACTGATTATACTGGTCAGGATCTTCAGGATTAACGGCTTTTTCTATATCTCCGTACTAAAAGGCGTTTGCTGTAGCATGTGTGACTTAGGTACTTGTTACTTTTTAGTCTTAATGAGAAAATAATCATCCTTAATGACTTAAATAATAAAAATAAATTATAGTTTAAAAAATTAGCACACACGCTTTTGTAACTATGCTTTTTATAACTATATTGCTTGAAATGTATATTTATCTACCTTACTTTATACTATCCATACTAATTTTATAAAAGCAGAAGTGTCTGTCTGTCTATCTGTTTGTTTTCTCTTCACGCTTAAACTGCCTAACCGATTTAGATAAATTTAGGAATGTAGATATTTTATTTATTTTATTTATTTATAAATTTACACACACAAACTGACAGGTTACATCTTTAAACATCCATATTAATATTTTTGATAGTTAAGATAGTTTAAGTAAGATAGATAAGATAGTTTGAGTCTATTGGGCAAGGACATAGGATCCTTTGGGGGGAGGGGTGAAAAGGGGGGTGGAAGTTTGTATGGGGAATCAATAACAACTTAACCGATTCAGATGAAATCTGGTATGGAGATAAAGTAAACAAAGGACATAGGCTACTTTTTACTGCGAAAATCGACATACATGCGGGCGTGGCCGCTGGCAAAAGGTGTATTATAAAAATACAAATAGTGTATAATAAAGTATTCTATCTTTTATATTGTATTGGGGAGAAGACAGGTTACTTGTTGGTAAATGACTACCGTCACCTTCCACCTTCAATTCAAGAGTGCCCCCTACTCAGATTTAGGAAGGAAAGGACTGAATCTCAGGTTGACTTCACTCACTGGGTTTTCTGTAACCCACTCTGTATTGCATAACACACAGGCCGTAGTGCCTGCTTTCCCACTAACTAGAATTTGTCAAATAACTCTCAGTCTAACAATCACAAGTATACGAGTATAACAAAAAATCTACCACCACTGCTTGTGATTCTTCATTTCCCCGCACCGCCTACTCAAAATTATTTAATTAAGTCTAATAAATCATATCAAAAATAACATCTCCTCTAATTAATAACCAAAGTGTTACTGTTATTAATTGTATTTACAGTATTCAACTGCCTATTTATATTTCGACTATATTACACTTGAAATGAAATTCAATGATTTTTTTGTGTGTTTTTTGGGTTCAAAAAGACAACTCCAGTAGTAGTAATATATCCTATGTCGCAGGGGACTTTACAAACATACATGAGACGGACATAAAGAACACCCAGACTCAGAACAACAATTTGTGGATCACACAAAGTGTAGTCCCATGTGGGAATCGGACCCACAACACTCAGCGTAGTAGTGAGCGGTGTGGCGACCGCTTAAACCACTACGCCATCCGTGCAGTCAATTATGACTAGATTAAAACCCAAACTAGTCGAAATAGAATTATTAGCTATTGATTATAACCAATTTATACAATTGGTTATTATGTACAATTTATTATCTGTAGAATGTGTAAATACATTTTATTGCAGGCCTTTCATACAAATATGGCATACATTACCCACTTATAAGTTTTTAAATTTTAAATGAAAATACAAACCAAACAATCAAATACGTTCACTATCTGAATTTATAAAATAAATCTTTTGTTGAGGAAATGCTTCTAATTAAATAGCTATTTTTTGTTGTTTTCCGTCAAGTCTGGAAGAGTTATGGCTGTTTTGCCCAAAAGATATAATTCGATCATAAAAAATACCCAACGGTAATAGGTATAAATTAATGGTTTGTGTCTAAACTTTAAAACAGTTTTTTTTGCACAATTGAATTATCAAGATGACCTTTTCGTACATAATCAGATCACATCAACAGCCTATACTAGTCCACTGCTGGACATAGGCCTCTCCTTAGAAAGGAGGCTCTGGCCTACTATACCACGCTGGCCAGACGGGTTGGTATAGGGTTTGTTTCAAGTTTTCTTTCTCTTTGCAGTGCTGTTGTCCTGCTTAGTACATAATACAACAACAAAAATAAATATAAATCATTCATAAAATTGGTGTTAAGCAATTTTTCGCTGCTTTTAGCCGATGGTAGTCACTTTCCATCAGACCTGTTTGCCCTCTACCTATACCATAAAATAGTCACAAGTAATAGGCAATGTTTTAAGTACTGTATAGCACCCTGATGGCCGGTCTCAGGCTCCCTGAGGAGGACCCGGACCATGTTATTTTAAGTCGCACCCGGATCCACGCCGTGTCTAGTAAGACCCAATCCAAGTGGAAGCCGCCGGCTTTGTCCTCGCCTATAGGCCAAATCTACCGCAATGCTACTGAAGCAGTTTATCTGCTACCAGAGGTCTCCACACTCTAGCAGCCTGCGGCCCCGTCGACGGCTGGTATCGCCGTCGACGTCCTATCTCTGTCGCTACTCGCTGCGCTTGATTAAGCTTAACTTTGCTGATGGAGGAGGCCGATAGGCCCTTAGCGAAAAAAATCGGCGCTCCATAGAGATTCATGAATCTTAGAGGCAGCTTACTTCCTCCCGCGGCCCCCTAAATCAGACATCAGCCTCTGTACGGAGCCCGCCACCCCGCAAATTCGGGGGTATCAGACTGTCGTCTACGTAGCAGACGACACTCAATCCTGGGGGAAGACTGGTCCTTAGGACTACATCATACGCGAGGTTCCACAGAAGGAGTCCTAATTTCTAAAATTCCAATGATTTTCGACTTAGAATGATGGTCTGAATACATTATTTCAGTATTCGTTACGATGTCCTTTACACCCTGTATAGAATTAGACAACCGTATGATTGACATATAAGCTTTCACACCGACAATAGACTTATTAAAATATTGTTCTTTTCATATTACATCCACGTACATGAAATAAGATGAATCTAGCAGCGGTGACAGCCTCGAATTGAGTTTCACTTCTGGCTCATCTGATAGCGGAGAAAATAAGAAAAAAAAGAAGAAGAAAGACTCTCATAAATACAAACCAAAGTCCAGCAATGAAAGAACAGGATGGTAAAAAGAATATCTTAATGACAATTCATTTTTAAAACCAAACACTTCATATAAATAGGTTACGAAATGTTTAAAATTGGTACTTATATTTTCTACGTGATTTTATAATTCACTAAAATGAAGGCCATATTAATGAGATACGGCTTAATTAACGATTATTAATATGATTTTATGAACATTTCTCTCGTAAAAACAACTTAAAAGTTACCAAAAAAGTACAAATACTATATCCGTAACTATTTTTAGACGCCTAGCCTAGTATAAGGATTAGGTTTTTAGTTTTTTTTTAATATCACTCACACTTACGATCCAAAAAGCAATAAAACTTTGTGATCAAAAGATATAGACAGACTTTTTGTCTACCATACCGACTAAGAAAAAAATTGTGTCGTAAATTATTATTGATACATATGCATCAGAAAGTAATAAATTACGTCGTAATTTTATTTGATTCTGCAAAGATATGTTCTAGTTTATAGTCATAGAGTCTAATTACTTATGATTGTAATATTATATTACATGGTCGTAGGAGAAAATGGCATCGCAAATGTCAGCAATGTCCAGAGGATATGGAAATGAAGTGGCGAGATCCCAGTATCAAATGGATTTGTGCTGGGTACCAACGAGCAAGGAGGTCTTTCAAAAGCCTCTGTATGATGCATTATAGAAACTGCCAAGATGGAACCAGTAAGTCGTTACATTTTTATATGCCAACATATCTAAGAATAGGTACGCAGAATTATAAATTTGTCATATTTTCTAAGCTTTCGTTTCAAAAATTAAGTGTCGTACTGCCGAGTAATTATCAAAATATCAAATGATTATTTGATATCTAGCATTGTAATAAAATGTTTTTTTTATTCCACTAATATGATATACGAAATTATTTGGAACTTTCCAAATCGGTAAACTAACGGAGTTCTGATGTAAAAAACATAAAACATTTTTTTTAAGACGGTTAAAAAACTAATAAAAATCTTGTAATTATACCCAGAGTAGACAGCGAATCGCACAAAAACTTAGTTGATAACTGTGCCTACACAAAACCTTTTTTTCCACTCAATCTTTCAGTAGCGTTATGGAGTAAAATTTATATATTTTTAAGCGTATGAAAATAATAGTATTTTTTTTTGTTTGCCAGTGTTCACAAAGATAGCAGATCACCGCTGTCCAAATGACACAGACGCACCATCAAACTACAAGCATGGTGATCATTTTTTCTACGACTACTCTGTGGACCTCAGCTTAGATACTTCCGAATCAGACTCCGGGTCTTCTTCATCTTCTAGTAAAACTAAGAGTCAGTCTACGTCAATAGACTCAAAATCTTGGGATTCGGACAAACTGGGAAGCTTCGAGAGAAATGTTATAAATGATTTCGCGTATAGAAAAAAAACTTAAAATATTAATTTCCATTATTATCTATTTAAAAAAAAAAGATTGTCAAGCAATTAGCTGATATTAAACGACCTTCAGTGTTACCAATATAAAATCTAAAACCATAATAAATTTGCTATATGCATTTTTTTAAAGACAACTCCCGCATTAGGAATATATCCTATTCGACAATTTGTGGATCACACAAAGTGTCGTCCCATGTGGGGTTTGAACCCACAACACTCGGCGTAGTAGGAAGCGGCGTGGCGACCGCTTAAACTACTAGGCTATCCGTGCAGTCACTTTCAATAACCTAAGTTAACTAACATATACATAAACACTTGTGTAAAAGCAAGGATTAAGATTGTGTGAACTCCTAAACTATATCTTAGAACAGGAGGTAGTTTATCATACTCATTTCTATCTCGGAAAAATATTACGATATACTTGTAGGTTTTACGAAAAATACACCGTATGAGTTACATAAATCAAGTTCCATTATCTTATATCGGATCATAAATCCACATTGCGTCATACAACCATTAATCGTTTGCTCAAAGCAATTTGTCATACAGACAGACAGACAAGTGCGTGACGAGACACTATTGCAGTCTATTTCCACAACGCATATAAGGTCTTATGTCTTACACGCTTTAACCCACATTCGCTTAAACGAAATGTGTTTACCATTTCGTACGCAACTTCAGACACAGGGAGAACTTTGCAGTTATTTTGAACTCTAAGAGTTCGAGTGATGGCTGCTTTTTGTTTGATGTACTTGGATGTAAAAAAAAGTGTAGATGCATTTGTAATAGACCGATTTCGAGTGCCACATTTGGAGTCATTGTTTTTACATTGACTGTTTTCTCCCAAACCGCGATGTCGTTAAAGCCTTTATCTGTGAAACCTAAAAGGGTAGGACTTAAAATACTAATATTGCGGTATCGAATTATGTATTGTGTATGTGTGTGTATGTGTATGTATGTATGTGTACAAGTACATTATGGAATATTTTTATGCATAAATGAGACTTTTGAACAAACATGTGTTTATATATATGTACACATATGTATAGTTTTTATACATATTATTATACATATTAAGGAAACACGAAACTCGTAATTTGAACTTCCACAATCTTTTTTTGTATTACCAGCCGTTATCAAATTTCTAAATATACATATGAGGCTTATATTTCTTTGTAAAATCTTATTAGACAAATAATAATCCATACTATTATTATCAATGTGAAAGTGAGTTTATTGTTTTATTTTGTTAGTTAATTTGTTACACTTTAACGCCGAAACCACTTAACGGATTTAGAAATAATCATTATTATCTTCACCAATGGAAAGCTACATTATCAGTGATTAACATAGCCTACATTTTACGCGATAACCGACTTACACGCAGGCGAAGCCGCGGGCAAAAGCTTGTAATTAATATGATTGAATTATCCGTGTGGTGACGGATTAAGAATACGCAATGTCACCACCCCTATTTATCCTGTGGGTGTCGTACGAGCCGACTAAGAAAAGAAACTGCACAGGAAACGGCACTGCAAAAAGAAGGAATACTTGAAACAAACCCTAAACCAACCCGTCTGGCTAGCGTGGTATAGTACGCCAAAACCTCCTTTCCAGCATTGGACTATTATAGGCTGTTGATGAATTAGATTAGAAAAAAAAATCGTAAACACTCAGAAAAGTGATTTATCCACCAAGAGTAAATATTTGGTAAGGATTTTTTTTATCTTTATGTTGCTATGATATCATTTGATTTACTTTAAAGATAGATATTCTAATTAATTGTTTGCTACTTTATCAGGAAAGTCATAGTTTACATTTAATTTTCCAGTCAGCGTGGGTAGACATTGAAAAGAGAATTAAGAAAACACTGAACTCGTAATTTGAACTTCCATAATCTTTTTTTGTGTCGCATTACCAGCCGTTATCAAATTTCTAAATATACATATGAGGCTCATTGCGTGTAATCATGTATTTACATAATGTACAGTTTACCCAACAAAAGAGGGTAGGCGAAAAAATTGCCAGTACCGTTAGGAAAAGAAGTGTTAAATATGTAATCAACATATTTGCGATTTAATGCATAAGGAATGTTGGCTTTAAGATAAAAAATAGAACTAAATATTTTTGAGTGCTGGGAAATTGGAAATGTAACAGTGGAAAGTTACTTGTAAAGCCTGACTATATTTGCCGAAGTCACCGCGGCCCGACTGGCTGCTAACTCAAACTCAAAATATCTTAATTTCATAAAATAATTGAAAATTATTTGCAATCGTCTTAGACTCTAAAGTCATAGAAAAACACAAAAAAAATCAACACAACAGAAAAGTTAATAAAATACACACTAGCCCACACTAGATTTAAACTTAAGAAATAGTCTGTGCTAAATGAATCCTAAGCCATCTTGTCTTCTATGTAATTCACAATCGAGGAATAGGCCTTCTGACACAGACTACGCTTCACTGTGGATTTAAATTTATTTATGCTTAAGTCTTGTATTTTCCTTGGGATTTTATTACGAAATCGATCACATTGACCTCTGTTCTCCTCCTAGAATTCTTCTTTAGCGTGACTGAATTAAATCAAGTCGGTTTAGTATTATACTTATTTAGTTAACGCCTTATACACAGAAAAATAATAAATCATATGACATAATTTTTTAAAGTAATTTTTCAAACGGACGTAAATAGCATTTGATGAGAATTTCAATACATGATTGAAGAAACGAGCGATTGAAATATGTATAATAATTATCTAACTTTTTTGCTGTCTCTCCGTGTTTATTTTTTCACGTATCACAGGTGACAACTCTCATTTGTGGCTCGCTTCAGAGTAGGGTCTAAACAAAAATGTTATTCCAACGCACATTATATTAAAAACGCCTTGGGAACGGAGCCTTAAAGGTGAAATTTGAATGGCACAATACAAAATAGTTGTAAAGCAATTTCTGTGTATATTTTACAGCGATAAGTAAGAATAATGTGATATAATATTTTGACGTCATATTACATAATTTAAGAGAATTTTAAGAATATTTGGTTATTTTTAAATTTTTACGACATTTGCGAGCAACAGAAAGATATTTTGCTATCTGTCATATGGAAGAATCACGGTGAAACATAATCTATGATGTTGTACTCGTATTCTAAGGAACTTATGCTCTTAATTGACTAGTACAAAAGATACTAATAACCTACGTGTTGTTTTTGATATTATTATGATTAATCCTAATAATTAGCATCTTCTCCATTTGCAAGGATGCCGGGATACTTACTGTTGGGTCAGAAGCCACTGAACTTGCATTTAGGCGGAGGGGAACTTGTCACTTTCAACCAACAAGATTAGGAGTGATTGTAACCTTTTTACAAACTATCTCCTGGGCGTATTTTTGTGTTTTCTTGTTTAGGTGTGTACGAAGGAAAAAATGGACGAGAAATTGCGTTTAAAACAGTATATTCGACTTTTATGCGCCTAAATCATGACCAAAATATTAAGATCTGTATTTTTCAATTCTAAACAAGAAGTTAATTTTGTTTTTTGTAACCAAAAACGGTTCATTAATGATAGAGTTCTAAAGCACAAAACATACGAGTAAATTAAAAAAAAATACAACACTATAGAGTCTCCTGTATTGTATTTTTTTCTGACTGACTTTTACTATTACTTTACGAAGTGCGATTGGTATAAGAACAACTTTAATCTAGTGTCTATTTACGTCACAGTAGTGGTGGGAGGTGGCCCCACTACGTCAGTGGTTAATCAGCGGTCCCTGGTGACTACATGTGGCTTGATTGAACCATCGGATGACATGTAACCTAACAGCAATGTAAACGTGGATTGGCAATTAAATAACTGAGGGAATATCAGTGATTAGCTTTAAGAGTACTGTTGATAGCAAACGGTTTTTTATCAGTTATTTGGACTCGACTAGCTCTTGGAGTACTGGAGCTTGCTTTCATTTTGTAAATATTTGTTTTTGAGTACAGTAAGTGAATTATGTATATATCATAGTAAAGTTAGTAGATTATACATATATATTAAACTTAGTCTGGTTTAAAAGTGCTGTGTGATAAATATACTGGAATTTACATAATAATATATTGATTACTAAGCTATTAAATATAGCAACTACTATGATGAAACTGTGATTAAGGTATTTATTTCTTTTTATTGTACGTATTGGATAACATTTGTCCGAACCTTAAGAATGCCAAAATATTAATCATCGTCATCATCATCATCAACAGTTTTTAATAGTCCACTGATGGACATAGGTTCTTAGAAAGGAGGTTTAAAAAAATATTAATAATACAACCAAATGACCCTACGTAATCTACACCAGTATCATAAAATTGAAGAGTTTGTTTGTTTATTTGGTCGAACGCACTAACCTCTATATATACGCTATAATATATAAAATCAGGCTACGACAAATAGGGGTGGAAATTCAATGAAAAATGTTTCATATGCAGGGAAAATTCATTCCTTTCGGAAGAAGCAGACGAAATTGCTCGGGTCAGGTAGTTTTAAATAATATGTGTAATAAATTTTAAGTTACATACGGTCATTGGCCACGTCACGGTCCGGCAAGATTTAAAATGATAGTTCAACTTATTTTGGCCATAAATAGGTAAAACACAAATGGATTATAGTCGAATTTTGATTAGCAGGCGATCTCTAGCATAAGGCTGCACGTCATGTGTGAACCCTGTAATATTCTCCAATGCCCTATTACAGTCAGCCACCACGAGCACACGACACAAGTTAGCCGCTCCGTAATGAATTCGTGTCGGCTAACCAAGCTAACGTCACTGCATGGCGCCATTCCGAAACCAAAATAGACACACTGTGTTTATCAAATTTGCATCATAATCACAAAGTTGCAGCAAAATTGAAAGTTGGAGTAGATCTTAAGAATCAATCGTTTTAATATTTTTTTTCATCCCTCTAATAGATTGAATAATATTTAGGACGTGGGAGAGCTATACTTCGCACAAA